GAATTAGTCAACTCAAATAGGGAACAATCTAGGAGAATTTTTTTGTATGTCCCGTAGCAGAAGCTCAAACCCCACAACAGTTCACCTGGTCTTGTGCCAAATAATTCATCTGAAAAATTGCAGAAACTGAATTGCCTGTATTAAAAAAACAAAAAACAAAAAAAACCACCACACCAAAATAACAACAACAAGAAAAAAAATACACATTTTGTTTTTTTAACCTTTCCTGTTTTCAGGTTTTTTTTTTTCTTTCAGGATAAGATCTTACTGGCAAAATTTAGATTTCAGCAGTTCAAATCAATGGCTGTACCCTACATCACTCCCTTTTTCAAGCTTGTGAAAATTGAGTTAGATTGTACTGTTGCCAACAAATGCTATGAAATACATTAACAAACAGGAGCAGGTGCTCAAAGAAAGAGTTATTTTTCCTTTTGTTATTGGTGATTGGTGAGTAGTTAGGATTTATTTCGGTTTCTGGCAGACAGCAAATTTCATCATGGTTTCTGACAACAATCTCAAGATTTCTACTTTTGTGAATACAAAAGTAAGAGCTAGAGGAAACAAAAATCTAATGCAAGAAAAATAGTTTGCAATATTCCCAAGAGAGATGTGATTGAAAAAAGCATATTACCAGACCTGAAAAACAGGACTCCCACCAAAGCTGCCTGCACTGTATGTCCTCTTACTGGTATTATCATTCCTGTATTAGTTATGCAATTTCAATTATTTTTAAAAGATTGTAATTGATATATTATAAACTGATAAGAGACAGGCAGTTCTGAGCACAGAACACCTGCCAAGATATAATGACATGAAGGGCCTGTAGACAAGCTTCCAACACCACCTGTTAGTACACAACAGCATACTAACATGGATAGACACAATAACAGAATCAGAAGATAATGAAGAAATTCAAGCCCTGAATAAGAGTCTTGCATATACTGGTATCACATCTCTGGTATACAAAACTGTTATGTCTTCTCAAGTCTTTTAATTACACTGAAAGCTCCCTAGTCTGCTCAGTTTCTCTCAGAGACACTTCAATAGTTAGTAATGGAAGTTGTGGGGACACGCTTGAGGTCCCCACATAGCAGGTGAAATTCTGACAGTCAAACAATGTCAGGACTTCGGGTACTCTTCCACTGGCATTCCGTTGGCCAGGACTCCTACATGCCATGCCCCAAATGAGCTCACACATTTTAACAGCACTTTGCCTTGTCTAGGATCTGATTTGAGCAGTGTAATGGATGCTAGCTGCTGGAACACCATAGTTCAGATTTCAGGACTGTCAGATAGAATGCTTCATCATTTACTGTGGTGACAATTAATAGCACACGCCAAGAGTAAAGAGAATTTTTAAAAATCCTGACATAGCTACAAAACTTACATATAATACGAATAGAGAAGAAACTCACAAGCAAACAAAGAAAAGCAGAAAAGCATATTTTTAGCTGTCCGTCTCCAGATAACTGCATCAAAGATTCAGCTGCTATTTAGGACATCTAATCACATACATGACTGCAAATCCTGTTCTTATCTGCTTCTTGGACTAGGTCCTCAGGGTAGCTTTTAGAGAAGAACCGCAGGCTGAAGCACATTTCTTACCAGGAAGCTATCACTAACAGAAGAGTAAGATTGGCATAAATTAATGAATTATTGTATATATTAAATCAGTACAAAAAGTGAGTTTGATAACATTTAGACGAGCATTGACTAAAAATGCCAGGTATCTTTTATGTCCCTATTGAAATAAATACAAAGAAAAAGATGAGCGTTACTGACAGCTGACATAAAATCAGTAACATTATTACAGAATATAATGTATCACAGGATATAATAATTAAACATTTTTCCAAGGCACCTGACTTCCTATATTTATTCTCTCTATTTTTTGTTACCTCACTTGCATCTTGAACTTGATCTTCAAAGTAGATAGAGAGTAAGGATGTGTGTGACAGATCATTTAGTTTAAAAAGTGCAGGAAAAAAATAGATAGAAATGAAGTCGTTTCTTTAGAGACTGGAATTGGAAACAATTGTTTCTGCTCACGTTTCTTAAATCCTATGTAACCTAACACCTCTGGGTACAGCCTCTAGGGGTGAAGATAAAGAAACTGGCGTATCTCAAACCCCAGCCCAAGAAAGGATCTCCCTACATACCACAAGAACTTGTATTTTTTTCCTTAATACTTGAAAGCCAATATTTGTTCAGTGACATTATTTTTAAACAAAAAGCTTCAAATGTAATGAAAGATTTCATCTGTGTGCACTAGTGGACAGTTTGTGTTATAGTTTTTGGGGCATTTTTTACTAAAAGATCACTGCATCCAGAGGTACCAATTCCCAATAAAATACTGTCAGTTTGCTTGCGTGAATCAAACACTCATTGTGTGCAAGGTTTATACAAGGAAGCAAATACTCATGAAACCTTGTCACAGATATTCATGAAACTACGCATATTATGTACAAGATCAATGTTGCTAGGCAATAAAATACACAATGCACACAGAATAGCTTGATAGCAGAGAAAAACTAGAAATTATTTCAAGACTGAGTAAGCAGCAAAAATGCATCATTCTAACTGGTTAATTTCTGAGATGGATACTAACAGTACACAAGCCACAAAACTGATGACAGCAAGTTTAAAGGTTGTATAATCTAATGATGTCTGAGGATTTTCCAGACTATATAAGTGTTATTGACCAAGAATTTCACTTTTATGGCTTCTCTTCCTACAGCAGAGCCTATGTAGCTCTTGAATACAGGAAGAATAGAGTAAAAGAACAAAAACATATTCCAAATGGGATATTATCTCCTTGTGCTGAGATCTTAAACTTTTCAGCATGATAAAACCCTGCTGATAAAAGGATTTACAAGAAAGAAAAAGTAGTAAATCAGATGTTTGGGGCAGTGTAGAAAAAGGGAATCAAAAGGACAACAGATTGAAAATAGTGAAAGAAAGAGTATTCTTCAGGTTCAGCTGGTCTAAGTCAGCATAGCCCCAGGGAAGTTATGCTCACTTAGGCCTGGTAGGAATCTGGCACAGCAACCTGAAAAAAGAAAGGGAAGATCTTAAGGATAAACAAAAGACTGGGGTTCAGCTGAAAGAAATATGTATCTCTCTTCTTCTGCAGAGAGGGAAGAAAATTCTCATCAACAGAGCTGTAGACGAGGGGAGGCAGAACAGAGAACTGAACAAGTAGAAAGAAAGCTGGAGGCACAAAATATGAGAAGTAAAAAGAAAGTGACACAACAGAAGCATTTCCTAGTGGTAAAGAGAAACCTTTATGCCAGAAATGAAGAAAGAAGTGGTGGAGAAAAACAATGTCCTTTTAAGGTTTTCAAATATATTCTTATCAAGGTTATTTCATTTTGTGCACACAAGTCAAATGTACTTTAAATATTGTTCTTGATTCATTGTCATCAACAATTTCCTTCTTCTTATACCATGAAAAAACACACAATTAAGTCCAGGTTAAGGTTTCCTCAATACAAATGATTTCACTTCTGGATCACTGCTATCCTTGTCACCCTAGAAAGATAGAACTTCCCAGCTGTGATGATCAGTTGTCTCCCTGTGATCAGTGCAACGTGAAAAAGGTTACTTTACAATCAGGATCTTCAGTCAAGTGCATCCTGCAGCAAACACACTGACGGGGTGGGGAGTGCACAAAAAGAAAGAATACCTACAAATGGTGAAAGTTCTTTCAGACTTAAAATACAGTATGTCATCAATTGAAATGATGAATTTTGTCAATGCTGTTTGACATCCAGAAGACAGCTATTAAATAAGCACTATTTATAAGCCGCTGCAAGCACACACACTATGAATACAGAGTGCTAAATGAAAATACGCTTTTATGTCACATCGGATTTTGCCTGCCCTTTGTTATGCCCATTAACACATGAAGTAATCCACAGCTCACAGACTGAGGATGCATTGTAACCTGGTGACTGGAACACTTCTCTAGAAAGGACATCCGTATCTCTAAGTCACATACTTAGAACTCAAGTGAAATCCAGGCAGTGAATGTATTTGTATATATTTATGCATTTAACCAGTTGGGGCAGGTTATACAACTTCTCACTACTTCACAAACTGCTTACAAGTATCTTGTTGGGACAGTATTTTTGCCACACAGACTTTTAAAATACAAGATTTACAAATGACTAGCATTAGTTTGCATGTCTGCTGTCTCATACTAAACACAGCATTATTTCATAGATCAGTTGTTGTAGAGGTGGGTTAAATAGTTTATGTGGCCTGCCAAACACTAATTTAAAGTTAGTACTGTTTACGTTTCAACATTAAATTGAAACCTTGAGAAGAAGAGCACTTACATGGGATAGGAGGGTTCTTCTTTTTCCAAGCAAAACAAGACATCATCCTGCAACGCAGCTGACTGTGCAGAAGACTAATGATCATTTTCCCTTTTGTTTTAAACACAAGCACTACTCCAGAGCTGAGCATGTTCTCCTTCTGAAAACACTTACTGGCACAGTGCCACGAAGAGTTCCACTTTTGAATATATAGTTCTCACACAACATAGCTCCCATACTTGAAAAACAGTATCTCAAAGCTAAGCAATTGCTCTGGGTAGTGTGAAAACTGAATACAATGAACATACAACAACCAAAAATGTAATGTGCATATATAAGCCAAACGTTGTTACTAACTCCAGTAACCAAACTTATTTACTCCCAATGGCAAAATCCTGAATTTAGCTCTCTAAGATAATATAGAATATATAATAATATATAATACAGTAATATATAAGATAATACACATCAATGCAGCAGGTATTCATATTGCATACATCTATACACTGTATTTATAGATATACACAGTTAAAATACACACCTAGGTACACACATTCTAACACTATGCAAAGACACAAGTAGGCCTAAGTTTTAAGCAAGGAATAGGTACAAATGAGTATATACAGAATAGGAAAACACATTATGTTGGACAACATTGTGTTGTCACTGAAACGTACTCACCATTTGCAGAAGATCAGAAGAAACCATCTGCATGCAACACATTGCTGTTGCCAAAGCACAGACAATGGTGGAGATGATATTGAGAGCGCACACACTGAACAACAGGTCCTGTGAAAAGACATGCATCAGAATATCATCTCTTATCTCAGGGACACAAAGACAGGAAATATTTTTAGTAATTTGATAATGAACACTGTCACTTGTTAGCAAATTTACATGGTCTCAATTAGCTGCGTAGATTTCACTCAACGTGTAATACTTGCTTTAGATCAGTCAGCAAAGGAAACCCTCACAGAAACAAACACCTTTAGGGGCACAGTTTAATGGAGGACTTGCTAGCATTATGTGACGGTCGCGCTCAGTGATGTTGTGGGTCCTTTACAACACAAACGGTTGTACAGTCTTCTCTTCCCCACTTAACAAAGTACATTCAGTATTAGCAATTTCCTCAGAAATACTTGAAGTTTTCCAGTTTTGTAGCAAAGGATAAATTATTGCTTTCACATAGACTTCAAGTTGCAGATATCACTAGCAAAATACTAACAAACACATTTCTGGTTAAAAACAAAACCACACATGAAGAAATGCCATTGCTTTCAGTGTTTGAAATCAACCAATCAGTGTTATTTGGTAAAAATACTAAATGGGAAAATTAGCATGAAACAGAGAATTTCATTCTGTATTAGATATATTGTGCATCTGAAACAGATCAGAAGTACATTTTAAAGTATGGAAGAAAAGCACTGACTGTAAAAGTGCGCTGTTTCTTTAAAAACTCTCTTTTCAACTACAACAAATACTTCTATTTACTAAGTAGAATAAAAAGAATATTTTAATTAAAATTGAAATACATTTAAACTGAAGACATAATTAAAAACAAAATAAAAACAACACAAACAAAAAACAAGCTAAAACAAAAACATAAGCATCCATTTCTTTCAATTACTGTATTTTTGTTTATTTTCCTTGCAGGTAAAGAAAAGGAACTCTAAAACCACTAAAATCCTTCTCCGGCAACTGCCTACCTGCTGTACCTGTGACAATTGCAAGCTCAGTCAGTATTCAGAATAGCCAGTAAAAGTACAGCCATTTCAGGAGAAAAACAATCAAATTGTAACACATGAGCAAAAACACTCTGCATAAATGCATACTGCAGAATCTAACTTGTAAAATACTGTCACTTAGAGCCAACAGATTTAGCTAACCCAAATGCATAACACAATACCACTTATGCTACGTCATACGTTCTGCATCAAAGTTGTAAGTTAGGATCCAAAGCGTCCTTAGGACCCTCACCGTACTCCTGTGCCTCAGGACAGTCACCTGTTCCTAAAGGTCACAGAGCTTCATCCTACTATTCCAACGTTTAACCATCTTTCCCCAGAATATTTCCATCCAATTGTTTACAATCATTTCTCTTCCTCCACAGCTATTAAGAACAGACTATTACATGGTTAAGCTCCATCATCTCGCTTAGTGTTGTAATTCCTTTATTTTCTGACATTACCCCTTCCTTGAAATCCTAGACAGAGATTTTCTGGGCCCTGACTACTTTCATTTGGTTCCCCTTCAAGCTGCCCCACATTCTTCCTGAAATGCAGAATTCTGAACAGGGCAGTGATGACTGAGGATTTTTGCAATTGTATATTGGTTTATCCATATAATCCTCAGATCCTTTCCTGAAGAACTGCCATCCTCCTCTTCCTGCTACTAGATAAGAAGAATAACCACATATATATAGACACATACATATTTAAATTGGAGAAATGCCAAATGAAAACCTCACTCTTACTTATATCTATTTAAGATTTGTGAAAGAGGTTTCCTCAATAGTTAGTTCCCATGTAAATCCAGTAGTAAAGTTCCTCAGAAACATAAAAAGGAGTGAAACACAAAAAACAAACCGAATCTGTACAATTACTCCTTAATTACAGAAAAACACAGACTGTGCTAAACTGAAAGGCACTAGATTAACTTGATTATAAATGCCTGTAACTTCAGGAAAACACAGGAGTAAAGCTTTAAAAGAGCAAATATTTTGATATTTCATTTTGCATCTATTTGGTTATTATTGCTATTAAATCAAGACATCACATCACACCTCTGTTGTTTCAAGTATTATATACAAAATGCTAATATTAGATATTAGACTAGCTAATCTGAAAATAGTTTATGTGGAAAATAAAAAATTGGCCAGCCTCAAAATAGCATGATTTCACATCTACAACTACTCTGCTCCTGTAACAGAAGACAAACACTAGAGATTCTCAAAACCTAAAGAGAGGTAATTAATTTTTAAAAGATTTCTAAAGTCTGTTTTAATTCAAACAGGAATCAAACCACAAACCATCCAGCAATATTCACTTCACCCTCTAACCCAATCCAAACCCCAAAAAGCATTATTCAGTGCTTTGGCAGTTTGCTTTTTCAGGAAATTTCCTTCCCATGCCCTGTTGAGCAGATAATGAGGCAATTCATAAGACACTCGTTTATTCAACAGTAATAGCAATAACTCTCTGTGGCCAAACATACTACCCAGATAGACAGTGCTGATGCTTATGCAGATCCAAGTTGAAACATGATGACAACTAAGATTTCCTTCAGGAAATGTCTCTAAAAAGTCGTAACCACAACAGAGACTAGCTTAATTCTCCACCGCACCTGCCCACAGACACTTACAGGAGTAGGAAATCTGTATCTATCTGTAACTAATAGTGACAGTTGACTTCTGCAACATCTACACTGATGGGAGAATACAATGCATGAGTGAGTATGGTGTGAAATAGGTTTCTTTGCTTTTCAATTTTGTAACAGTTAAACCAATTTTATTATCATCCAGAATTTTTCTAAGTATATTTGCTCCTTTCTACAGGCATAATCTGATGCTTCTGCATGTTCATGTAATAATTAATGCTCTGACTGGTATAATGTACCATATGATATTATTCTGTCGCAGTTCATATATATGATTTCCTTGCCATGCCTTAGCTCCATAGTAAAGACACAATTCCCTTTAAGAATAGATGTAGCTGTCAGAATTGCCTGTAAGCAGACCTGGATCAGTTCAGATTAATACCCACAGGAGTTGAATGGCACTGTGAGCTCTTCGTGGCCAGCTGTTTTTCTGAACTAGCTCCCCAGTAAATCTCAAAAGCTGAATTTAATACCGATTTCCAAAAAAATCTGTAGTGTTCTGTATTTAGAACACCTTAATAATTACCAAAATAATCATGCCATTAACTAAGTAGCTGTTCATTGCTTTTTCCTTCCCTCTTAATAAACACTTTCTACTCACACTGTGGTTCTGCAAAGGATATTTGTGCATTATCAAATTTATTTTTTTTCACACTATCATCCATATGTTTTAAGGAAAAAAACTGAGCTGATGTCTTCTAAGCTTTTGTTAGTTTTACTGTTTTAATACTATTCCTATGCTACTGCAGCTCTATCTTTACTAGTGCAATTCAAATTGTACATAGCTTATCTTCAGAATTTCATTATGCCAGTGATAGAACTCCGGACATCATCTGAAGTAAAATTCACTTTAGGAATTGTAATTTAAAGAGACTCAGCTAGCCTATTTACCACCTACTAAGGTATTGAAGATTAATCTAGTAGATGTTCTTAAATATTTATCAACTATCTTTTAAAAGCTAAATTTGCACGTGCCTTCTCTTTCTTTCTTTCTCTTTCTTTGTAGCACTTTCTTCTATAAAATAAGTAAAGACTACCTGGTTAGAATCAAAAGTAAATTAACAATCCCATAGTAAAATAGATCATTTTACTTCCATCTTCCATCCCAAACAGAAACAAATCTTTCAAACCTTAGCTAGAGATAAACTTGACTATTCCTCCAATCTGAAAGTAGTTAGGCCTATTAATAGAGCCAATAGAAGTATTTCAGCCAAAAATGCCATTTTGACATTGCACATTTATTTAACTTCATTTAGAATTTTGGCAAGAAACAGAGTTGGAGCTCTCAGTCAGATCTATTATGCAGCAATATATCACAGAACTATTTATGTTTGGGAAGGCTGAATGGAAACAGAAGAGAGATTCCTCAGACCCTTGCTCTTGTTTTTATGCATTAGCACTGCTTATGCTGAAATACTTTCCTCTCTGGGTTTATGTCTACTTGCTAGACTGGAATGTGTTATGGAATGTGCTATTGTTGGTTTGTAGAAAACTTGATTTTTTCAAGCTGGTTGTAATAAAGGATTTACTCTGTTCCAAAATTTAACCATTATCAGCACTATTTTACTGATGCCATAACTACAAAATCTTCATGTGTTTCTATGCAGCTTAGATATAGGGAAAGTTTACACACATCAGAATCAATCATAAGTTAGGTTTTCTGGTGCTCTCAGGTACGCAAGCAGGCATTGCTGGCTATACAAATTGAAAGATCTATTATATAGAACCCAATCACACTACAAGTAGAGCTCTCCAGCAAAGTGACAGCTTAATATTTTGCAGCACCATTCTTTCAGCATCCTTAACCATGGCCCTGTAAAAAGATCTCTGATTCCTTTTTTTGAAAGCTGTACTTTCTCTTCAACATTCAAAACATGTTTACTTTTCTTTAATGCAATTGCTTTTAGACCTTAGCTGATGAATGCAAGCTGCCTTAGCTTCGATTTTTGCAAGTATGATTTACAGACTACATTGCTTACTACATTTCCACACAAGAAAATATGAAAATAACAGTGTTGCTATCTCATAAACCTCTGGAAACTCTTAAATTTACAGGAAATACACCAGAAGTCAAATTTAAAATACATTTTCTTTTATGTTCTACATAATAATATCTAGTAAATTCGATCCTATCTGTTGAAAAGAAAGCTAATGAACTGTGAGACATCCAAAAACAGGTACCCATCATATTTTCCCAAAAGGCTGCAAAAGGCCTGACCTCAAATTTTGTTTTTAGAGCATATTTTTTCATGTACTCACATTGAAAATAAACATAATTCATTGGAATCTTGTGTCAATGCCTGTGTTTCATTTAGTACCAGCAGTTTTCTGTTTCCTCAGTGCAACATGTGAGTCAAGTTATCTCACGTTCACTACTGGAAGGGAATGTGAAAAATCTATTTTCACATTGAAGC